CTTTACTGCTTTTGAAGGCCTTAGATTTTCTATCATGTAATTGAACAGCAATAGAGAAAGATTCAGGCACACTGGGTTCCCGCTTGTTTTGCAAACATTTAAGAAAGTTACTGTTATCATAGCGGGGACCCGACACATATCACTGATGGAGAAGGGGCAGAGTCTGAAGAGCTCTCACAGGAGGAGGGGGAGGGCGAGCTGGGATAGTTTGGTTCCAGCATACACCAATTTTTCCATTTTCTCTGAGAAGCACAGAAGTGGAGATGCTGGAGAGAGGGATAACGTGTCTGGGGAGAGGGGCTGTTGCTCTGGTGTTTTCGGAGGCTGTAATATGCTGTCCTAGTTTCCCTCGCTGTTTTCCAGAAAGTCGTCCTTGGGAGCTGAATCTTGGTTCTAATATGTCCCGGTCTGTCTGTCTGGTGAGCTCTGTGGGCAGGGCTCTGCTGAGATTGTGTCCGTGAGCAGAAGTTGTTGTGGCTGCATGGAGTCATCATTGTCCTTAAGTGATGTCAACCACATGTCCATTCAGGTGCTGAAGTGAAGTCCTGTGGTCATTCATAGTGTGTCCAGGTGTGTGTGTGCCATTCAGGTTGAGTGGATTGGCACACACTGCAGAAGGATGATTGAGGCAGAAGTAGATATTGTCCTTTAGCACTCTTGAACCAAGTTTGTTTGGGTGGAGCCCATCCTGTTGAAGCAGTTGCCTCTGACTCCAGAAAATATTGAAGTTGTCAATGAAGTTCACTCCTTTTATATTGCAGGTTTTTGCAGCCATGTGTTAAGCCCAAGCAACCGTGAAAACTTGTTTGTTCCTCTTGCTGGGAGTGGTCCACTGATGAATGTCTGAACTTTCAGTCTTTTAAGTGTTTCAAAAAGTTTCCTTCTTAAGGAGTTCTGACTGCTCTTTATGAATATAATTCTTCCCCACATTAATGATGAGTCGATTTGCAGTCTTATGTTTCATCAGAATGTTCTGAAGTTCCCAATTTACATCAGAAGTCGTTGCTTGTGGAAGGCAGCATGTAGTTGTATCCCTGCTAATAATGTTTCTGATTATGGAGTCACCCACTATCAGAGTCCTGTGCTGGGCTGCGCTCTGAGCTGAGCGCCACTGTCTGCCCGACCTTGATCGCCAGTTAGCAATGTTAGCTACTGGCTGATTCAGTCTCTGTTCGATCACATTCATCACATTCAGGGATTCCTCATTCATTAATACTTCAAATCTGTTCTCAAGATGTATAGGCGGTGGTAAGAGACCAGTGTTTGCAATCCTTGTCAGAGCCGTATCTGGGGTAGAGGATGCTACTGCAGCAATATGTGATGCTCGTGACAATCTGATGTCTCGAGTGCCTTTGGGTCTCGCTCCCTGTTTGTGCCATCGATTTGTAAGTCGATCGGCTTGTATCTCTACACTCAGTATGACCTGTATTGGAGCACTAGATTCATGGGACTCACCGGCTGTATGCTGAGGGCGTCCATGACGAAGCTCTGTTGTGTGTTCCGTCTGGTTTGGTGGTCCCACAAGTAACTTTGTTTCAAGAACTGCAATCCTTTGTAAAAGCCTCTGGCAGTTAGTGCAGCAAGTAGATTCCAGAAGAGGCATTTTCTCTTATCCTTTTGAATGTAGGCAGTTGTGTTTTCCCTTTCCCGGAATGTAAGCTTTCAGTGGGAGGCTGGTCGGAGAAAAGAATTCTGCTTTTTTGTAGTAATCAAGCGTTTTAGCACTGTGCTGATTTGCTGAAGTTAAAATTAGGTGATAAAAGGGAATAAAATATAAAAGCGATAAAAAATAAAAAAGCGATAGAGCAAAGCGCGGAGCAGTAAGCAAGAGCGTCCGAACAGTAGCTGAGCAGGAAGTGAAGCAAAATAATAGAAAATTGTTTGCCACCACAGCTCCCTATTAAACATTGTATACATTTTTAAATATTGCTGATTACTTACAAAGCACTAAATGGTTTACCGAGTACTTGAGCAAGCTCTTAACGCATTATAATCCTTCACGTCTATTGCGATCTCAAAATTCCGGACAGTTGCTAATACCTAAAATATCAAACTCGACTGCTGGCGGTAGATCCTTTTCCTCTCTAGCACCTAAACTTTGGAACAGTCTTCCAAGCATTGTCCGGTAAGCAGACACACTCTGTCAGTTTAAATCTAGACTAAAATCACACATCTCTTTGACCTAGCATACACATAACACATTATCGATTTTTATAATTCAATGTTAGGCTGCATAGATTATGTCAGCTGGAACCGGGAACACTTCCTATAAATCCTTATGTACTCGTTGCATCATAAGAAAAATGGCGTCTACGCTAAAATTAGTATATCTGTTTATCCCGAGGTTTACTGCAGTCCGGTGGATCCAGACCTGGGGCCCGTTCTTCGTACATCGCTAACTCACTTAGCTGGATTTGATTGTTGGCGATTTGGCATGATCTTGGATTGTTTGGTTCTTCGACGCTCATCCTTGGACTTGCTGTCATAGCAACAGGTGCGTAAGCTTGAACCTGCTCGTGAGCAGGCTTATTTCAGGTTAACAGGATTAGATCCCGGCTTCATAAGCGGAGCTGATACGGGAAGTCTTTCGCAGCCATGTCTTGTCCGTTTTTACGAGAAGAACCTGTTGCTGAAGGTGCCAGAATAATTTGAAGAGCTTTTCGAATTAATCGCGTATTGCGAGATAGACAGGATCCTTTAGCGCAGCGCAATAATATACTTGTTGAGAGATATCGTTTTTCTCGTGAGGGTGTCATATACATCATTAATTTGTTGGAACCACACGTTAAAAGTTCGACTCGTCGGAGTCGGGCTTTAACAATGGCACAAACTGTGTGCATTGCCCTGAGGGTCTTTGCGAGTGGCACGTTTCTTTACACTATTGGAGATGCGGAAAACTTGGGGAAAGGTGCTATCTGTCGTGCCATTCGCAAAGTGTATCTTGCAATCAAGCAGTTTTTAGGGGGTTTTGTGGTATTTCCAAGCCACTTCAGACCACAGGTTGTGAAGCAGAATTTTTTTTGCCATTTTCAGGTACATTACAATTGTTAATGAAGATCATGCAACCATGATCACGCCAAAAAGTAGGACTTACAGTGTTTGTTCCTCAGGCTTCCCTAACGTGATTGGTGCCATTGACTGCACACACGTCCCCATCAAGGCGCCACCAGGCCCCAATGAAGGGGATTTTGTGAACAGAAAAGGATTTCACAGTGTAAATGTGCAGGTAAATTACTGTAAGGGGTATACAGTCAAAGACCCAGAACCAGATAGGAAGAATGAAGACCCGGAGTCAGAATTATAAAAAATTTAAGGAAAGTTTTACTGAAGATAGTTTGCATTTTCATCAGCATAAGTCAGCTTCAAGACTCACACAGGAGTTTGTAGGCCGCCCCGCTTACAGTTACAAAGATCACAGCAGTTATACCCTTTCCAAGGTCTAAGCTACGTCATTGCTTACAGGTTGAATGATTCTCATTGGCTAAGAAACATGAAAGCCTAAACAATTTAACACATGTGAGGAGATAGGGGTGCCTATCGCCATTAGTCAAGATAGTTGTCGTCCACTCATTAGATTTAGGTATGTGGTGGCCTTTAGGACCCTCTATAAACCTTTCTACTGATCCCAGAGAAAGAGACAAACGGTCTTGTGGGTTACGTGGCCTTCGTGTCCTGCGTGTACTACGTGCAATCTGGTTACTGGTTACTTACATCACATGCATTTAAGAAAATATAATTTCACAAGCACAAAGAATATAAAAATTATTATGTGATAATGAATATATTTGATTATTGATTTTTATAAAGGAAGTATATAAGCATTCAAAAGGATATATGATTATAGATGTATTTGAAGAGGCAAGGGATTTTGACCAACCCTTCATTACTATTACGATTCTTAATATTCCATATTAGTAATATATCAAATAAAAAATTAAAAAATGTAATCAAAGTATGCAGTTGACTGATTAAAAATATCTTAGATGGTGTGTGACTCAATGTCATACATCACAAATGTGGAAGCAAAATGGCCTGGTCCTGTGCATGACTCCAGGATTTTCAGAGAGTCACATGTATGCACATTATTTGAACGTGGTAAGGAACATTTTTATATCAAGCTCACTGTATAACATACATTTATTCTGAGCCTAACAAAACTGCATTTTTCCAGGTGCTTACGACGGGATCCTGCTTGGTGACCGGGGCTATGCTTGCAGGCAGTATTTTCTGACACCATTCCCTGACCCAAACCCCGGACCACAAACCCGTTACAATGCAGCTCTAGCCAGGACAAGGGCACGCATTGAAATGACCTTTGGGCAACTAAAGGAAAGATTTCAGTGTCACTGTCTGAAGGGTCTGAGGGTTGCACCTGACATGGCCTGTGACATTATTGTTGCATGTGCCATTCTCCACAACATTGCCACCATCAGAAACGAGAGGACCCCTGTGGTGGAGGTGCAGCCTAATGATGACCTCCAGCCAGTGCACTTGGACCAACCTAGTGGCAGAGCTGCACAGGACAGAATTGTGGAACACCATTTTTGATTTGATTTTTTTTTTTTTTTTTTACAAACAGAAACATTCATTAAATGAATAGAAGACAAGACAACATGCTTAGTTCCTTGATTTTTATTTCAATTATTCTTTGTCAAGAAAAGCTAGTGATGGTCATCTTTTGCCTGCAATAAGATATATTGTTATCCAAGGTCAGCAATAGTACTCTGTGTGAAATATTGTATTACCACTCACTCTGAACTTCCCTTTGAAGCAACTCAATCTCCAGTGCCAGTTTTCTCTTCTTTAAGGTGTCAAGTTCTATTTCTCCCCTTAATTTTTGTTTTTTTTTTCAGGTCAAAATACTCAATTTTCTGTTGTAGATTCCGTTTATATAGGGTACGGATATCACCCTGTGCCATTTTTGGATAAAAAGAATTACCAAAAAAACAACACAAGCCTCATGCAACAGAAATAAAAAGGAAATATACTACACTGCCCACCTCTGTATCACTTTGTGCTGTAGGTTTGTCTGTAGGCCTTTCCTCCTGCAACTCATATTGCAGTCAGAAATTATATGTACACATCTATAAATTAAGTCGTTATTTATGCACTTACAAGTACTTCCTCCAAAGGACAGTCATCTGAGAGGGTTTCTTCAGTGTCCTGTGCAAAAGAAATAAATGGGCATTACAAAATGTTGCACTTTCTTTGCACAATCTCAGCAGAGCCCTGCCCACAGAGCTCACCAGACAGACAGACCGGGACACCTTTGATGTAAAGTTAGAAAAAGTCCACTTACTGCACATGCTTCAGCCACCACTTGCTTGGGAACAGGTACAAGTGTTGCAAATGGTGCTTGGACTTAATTATAATGTCATTGGTTTTTCTCTAATGACCAAACAAAGGAATACTCTGTTTACCACATGTGACCGAAGACATGCGACCAAAAGGCCGTTTTGTCGAAGATCACGAGGAAGGACCCCCTCTGGGTTTCCTCCAAGATGAACAAACGAACATTGTCAAATCAGATAACGCACACACATGGTAATTCCCCCGAAGGAGGGGAGGTGAGCCGGAGTTCACTCCGCCGCCACCGTTCAGTGAACTCTGAATACACATACACACACGCACACAAGAAACACTCATTCTGACCACGTGTAATCAAAAGTACCCTTTTAAATGTATAAAATGTTTTTCTGGTTGTGTTTCATGATTCCCTGGTGACAAAACTGGTATAACTGTAAGTTTTTATGATATGGAATCAATTTGATATGCGTCTAATCACGAAGAATCATGTATCTTAATCTTACTAACGTACAACTATACCGTGCGCGATATCATTGTGATCAGAAAATTGCATAGATATCAAATTCCTGACCCAAAGTGCAACATGAGGCATACTTTTATTAATCCTAGTTTAGAAGTGTATTGTTACTAAATCTTTATCTGCTATGCACATGACCCGGAAGGCGTGTACTTCGCGAACCACAAGGTTTGCCGACACGCCTCCTCCCAAACGATTGGATCAGACACGTAAGAAAGGTGTGTCTCGAGCTCCTTCAAAACCCGGAGCACCACGGCTCTTCTGCGCAGTTTCCTACGCCAGAGAGAGATCCCAAATTTCCTGCGAACTCCAGCCGGAGTTCTTCTTCTCCGTCGCTTTTCTACTTTGTTTTAAATCTAAGTTCCTCGCTTTCCGATCTACCTCAGTTGATAGTTCTCTTTCGTTCAGTGTATGCACGGACGAAACAAGTTTAAGATTAATCACCTCTCGCACGGGCCGCAGCTGAAGAGATCGCAAACATCTGCCTCCTACCGGAAGACGCTCCAGACACTCCAACCACGCTGCCTTTGTAACACAGCTGCACACAAAGGGGCCGTAAAAGCAAGTACAAATCTAAAGATAAATGCTGCTTTAAGGTTGTTTAGGTTAATTTTAGAAGCCTTTGGGTCTCGTGTTGAACTGTTTTGAACTGTTCTCTCTCTCTCTCTCTCTCTCTCTCTCTCTCTCTCTCTCTCTCTCTCTCTCTCTCTCTCTCTCTCTCTCTCAATCTCTCTCTCTCTCTCTCTCACACTCTCTCTCTCTCTCTCTCTCTCTCTCTCTCTCACACACACTCTAACTTCCTCTCTCCAAATACGTCGTATTGCAATCTTTTGTTATCTGTTTGTTTTGATATGCATATTTACTCCTGCGTGATTTAAGTAGTTTATGTAATCGTTAGTTGTGTTATTAAATTCCATAATCTTTTTAACTGAATCTGTCTTATTGTTTCACGACTTGGGGTCCCTGAAAGTGTCGAGTTAATAAGCTACCAGCTCTACTTTGTTTAACTATCTAAAATATCTGAAAGTGCCGTACACGATAACACACTTCCTGGTGGCCACAGGAAAGTATTGTCGCTGTTTACAGGCAGGTAATGTTGTGAGAGAATTTGGTTTTCGGCTCCAGTCCGCTGGAGGTATAAACTAAATTCGAAACACATGTAAATTTACCCTGATAATTGATCTGGTTTTACTGACCTATATTAATAATCACTACGAGCAATCGTGTTAATTATTCATATACGTGAGGTTTACCGCATTCCCTATTTTGGGATAATCTAATTTGTGTACGTGATGATATATATTCACTAGCTTATAAATAAGATTCACCATCTGAGTTAATAATTTCCCCAAAGCAAGTCATTGTTGCTACATTTATGGTGGAGAATGCGGGCATTTTCAAACTTTACTTTGGGATCAATATTCAGATTCATGTTCATGTGTGTTTTGGGAATTTAATATTGTGTATGCACGTTTGCATTGTGTAACGTTAAGTGTTAAGTCGACTCAAAACTGCAGGCACAGTATTTCTACACGGCCCAGTTTAGAAAAATTCTTTGCTTGACTGTGGCACATTTTAATACTGTCCAAAGTCCTGTTTGAACGAAGAAATCTTCAACCACAGGCACATTACCGGTATATTTTGTTAACTGCTGGGGCGAGACTCCCCCTTGACAAGTAAAAGATCTTTATTTCGTTAGCAACGAATAACTTCGGGTTTTAAAAAACGCTGGCTTAGCTACCCGGTGGAAAAAAAATCCCGTCCCATTTTCGGTGCAAACCGAGCACAGGGATCTCCAAAAAAAAGTATACTTGTAAATGTGTGTATACTTGTTCGTGTTTAAAAGAAATCTGTGCGCATGAAAACTTCTGTGTTCCTTAACCAAGCTTTACAAGCGCGTATCAGTTTCAAAGTACCACGCTTGTGAGTTTGGGCCGCGTGAGCGCGACACTGCCACCGCGTGACAATAGCAGGGAAAGACCTGCTACCCATCTGCTCCCCATACTCTCTGCTTCCTCCTCGTTGTATTTCCTCCCAATTCACCGTGATGATTATCGAAAAAGCTGCCTAAATACATATTTGCATTTACAGCTTGCTAGTTCGTAAAACAATCCTCCTGTTTGGACTGAGAAATTCTATTTTGAGCTCAAATTCACAGAAGTGATTCAGGGCTTCGGTCATAGAATTCCTCAGCCCAAATCACTGATAGTTCACGTGGAGAGAGACAGACGCCCCTAGTGGCGGCACTCTTCCAGGTCAGCTATCATTCTTCTGCTCAATTCACTCTGCTCCACCCTGTTCCATTTCTCTCTGTCTCGATGACTCTGTTCTGTTTTATTTTATTTTTATAATCGCTACTAATAACTTCAGTGTTATGGTGATTTATTATCAGAAATCATTCTGATTCCTTTGCAAAAATGGAAGCTTTAGCGTTAAGTGCTGCCAGGAAGACTCAATTGTTGCGTCACTAATTACCTTCTCATCTATACAATCGCGTCTAATACTTACGGTATAAAAGACCGGTACTTACACGTGTTTGAGTTCGCAGATGCTGACGCATCCATTGACCTCCATCCTCCCCACCACCTCCAAGATGGTTCCTTCCCCTCCAACCTCCCCACCACCACCAGGATGGTCCCTTCCTATACCTCCCGGGGGGTCGGCTGCGCCCTGCCTCCGTCTTCTGGTTGAACTGTTGTTGCTCCTTCCCCATTATATCTAGATTTGATTTGAATTGGAACAATATTTCATCTTTAATTTTGTTTTATTGTAATTGTTATTATTATTTTTTTCTTTCTCCTTCTTTCACTATAAATTTCTCACATTTCAGTCGGTTGATAGCCCCCTGAAAAGCCAGAGGCCACCTAGTGGCAGACAACCTTCTAAAGCCAGCTATCAACCTTCCACTGAACTTTGTATGAAATCATTTTCATTTATGTTTTCCTGATGAGTATTTTATAATCATTACTAACAACTTCAGTGTTGTTGTGATTATTATAAGAGATCATTCTAATTCTGTCAATCTCCCCCATGCTTATTTTAATTTGAGTTTAAATCAATTTGAATTAACTTTAAATTGTGCCAAACAGTCAAGGTGAGCCACAGAAAGGAAGTGCGCCCCCTTGAGGCTCCAAGACCCACTACAGCGGCCCACCGCTCCCCTTCCTGACCTCCACCTGCATTGAGTTATTGCTAACTTCCGAACGAGTTAAATTAATTCTCTCTTCAAAGCCATTTTGTTACTACCGTATCCCTTTTCAGGTTTATTGTAGTTTCTGTTTTACTCCTACTTAAATTACTTTGAGTATAAAAAAATAAATAATAATAATTTTTCTTGAGCAGGAAAAATCTTAATTCACTTTAAGCTCCTTTGTTCTTTCCGTTGTGCGTGTGTACAGGTAAAAATCTCAGCACCTGTGGTGGATTGTGGGAGTCCGTGGTTGTCCTCTGTGGGCGGGTCTGCCGACTGGCGTCGCCGGCACTGACCGTGCGGTGACTCTCGGGTTCTGTTATCTCTGCCATTGGTTGCGGCACGCAGTACGTGATATCAGCAACCTGGTGCTTCAAAGGTTCAACCACCAAGCCGACGCACAAGTTGATTGTTGGGCTCGGTGCACAAACCACTGTCTACGCCAGCTTGCTAGTGGGGTTCTGGGCACCACCCACCTTTGCAGTGCGGCCGGCCGGTTGACACCTTCGGAGAATATCAGGTTGTGTTTACAGTCACGTGCTCTTTGAGAGGGCGTAACCGTGACAGAGCAACAGAGAGTCCGAAGTCACGGCAGTCGAGTGTTTGGTGACGCCGGAAAGTTTGACCACGCTCGCTGGGGCCAGCTGGGTTTGACCTCAATTCACCCCAGGTAAGACTGGATTTTGATAAAAACCCTGCCACTTAGCATAAGCCACAGAATATTAGATATTTCCCCAGATATATTTTCTGAGCGTAGGGTTGCCTCTTTCTCCCTAAGACACACCCTCTGAGTTATTAGTGGTTACACTACAGCGCAGGTCAATTCACTTAGGTGTTATTTTCACTGCGATATTTTTGTTTTGTTTCCCCTCTCGATCTTCTCTTCCTTGTTTTGTTTTGGTCTGTTGTGTTTTGTTTCTTTCAGTTCATCAAGAGACCCCCCAAGGAAGCTAAATAATAGAGTGACAACCAAGCAGCCTCTATTTCGGGTCCCACGTTGACCCGCGTAAAATTGGCCCGCCTAACTGTCTACGACAGTTAGCCAAATTTCTATAAACGGCACGGCTGTACTACAGCTCATTAGCCTCAAAACAAGCTTGCATTAGCCCTTTTTGTGTGTGTTGTGTTTCTCTCGCCCCCAGTGAGCCAGAATGTCACGCGCTTCCAGTCCCGCGGACCATTGGAGCAATCTGGATGCTTGGTTACGAGCCATGACAACCGGTTGTCTATCCAAGGACTCTGGCGACCCAAAACCCCTGAACCGACAGGAACTGGACGCCGAAGTAGACCAGCTAATGTCCAACGACCCCACGCAGGCCTACAGTTCAAAAG